TGAGGGGCAGCAGCATCTCTAGGTGCTCAGCACCAGCAAGCCCGTCCCCTGGGTGCTGCTGAGCTCCAGCCTCAAAAGGGGCATCGGGGTAAGCAGGTCTAAGCTCATTACAGCCATGCTGGTCTCAGTTGGGAGACGGAGGGGAGAAGCTGTTTACTGGTAGATGAACCATTAAAGTCACTCTCCTTCCCAGTCAGTAACTTACAGAGTGGCTGGAAACTGCCCCTGAGGAAGCATCTTGCCATGGTGGTGTCTGCGTGGTCCAGAGACAGCGGCTGATGCCGGGCTGGCACCAGCAGCAGGACAGGCTCCCGGCACAGCCGGCGCTTGTGCGCTCCCTGCAGCATCCCTGTCCTCACCTGGAAGGCCAGCCCGTCCCCCCGGGTGGCTTGCTGCAAAGGGAGGGACACGGGCGCTCACTGCACCGCCTGCCCATGGATGAAGGATCCACCCAGGGCGGGGGAGTCCCTGTGGAGCTGCCAGAGCTCAGTTTGCCCTGGAAGAGTCAGCGGGGGCCCCAGGGAGACAAGACACCTCTGGGTGCAGCAGCTCCCCAGCTGCACCCACCCACCCACCAGTAGTTCATGCCGGTGGCCAGTTCCCGCTACCTTGTTGATCTCCTTGTGTCTCTCCTTGCTGACGATTTCCTCTAGTACTTCTCCATCTCCTTTGATAAGCCTGGAAGACAAGCACAGGCCCACGAGCCATGAGGGCTACTGGCAAGTTCCTGCCAGCCACGCTGTTTCCCAGCCACAGAAGGTGCTGACACCCCCCCGCCCCACCACCCCAAGGGCTGCTGTTGTGCCCCAGCTCAGGGGGTACCTGCTCCCTGAGCGGTACCTGCCCAGGACCAGGTGCTGGGCTGACACACCTCTCGGCAAGGCCAGTCGTGTCCTACCCCTGAAGTGGCTTTTTTCAGCCATATCAAGCTTAAATAGCACGGCAGGCTTTTCCGTTGCGCTTGTGGGATTAATGTCACCACACCACAGCAAGGACAGGTGAGGTCCCCTGAGACCTCAGCACACCCCTCCCTGCATGGGCCAGCCGTCCCTGCCCCAGGCTGCGCGCGCTGTCTGCTTGTGCGGAGCCAGTCACGCTTGCGCGCGGCAGGAGGAAACACTCGTAATACAAGCATCTCCTGTCACCCCACCATCTGCAGCCTTCACTGTCAACAGCAGTGGCCCCAACCCCTGCAAAAACCACTTCCTTGTATCACCCAGAGTTCAGGTCTGGTCCTGGCTGCCTGTCACGGTCCACTCAGTGGACTCGTGATGGTTCGTCTGCTGTGATTTTGACTCGTACACTGCCTCAGGGAACTGCAGAGCCGTTCAGAAACAGGAGCCAGTTTGGGCCTGAAAGGCGGCCAGACTGGGGAGCATCTTGCTGAGCAAATTCCAAGCAGTGTTGGAGGCAGCTCACACCTCCAAACATGAACAGAAATTTAATTGTCTTCATTACGTGCCTTACAGGGAACCGACCTTTGTTCCACACCTCCCCGAGCCCCGCAGGCTGCCTTCTATTTTAAGACTGGACTTGTCACACCCAATTCTCTTCAGCATGATGGTTTCTGCTTGCCGAGAAGATGCAGTTTATTAAAAACTGGGTCATAGCTCTTTGGCAGCTAAATGAACTTCTGTTTGACTGTTGTCTGTAACCCCAAGGGGCACCACTCCCTCCTCCCTTGCACCCAGGTGCTAACTGGGGCTGAGGGCTTTGGAGCTGAAAGGCAAGCGCGTGAAGCAGGGGGGTGAGGAGGTGGCAGTCACCCCTCTGGTTCCTGTTCTGCCCCCAGTTGCAGCATCCCATTTAATGGGAACTTCACAGCGCAAGGAACAAACCTTCTGCCTCCAGCAGCGGGGTGCTCTGGTGTCTGCAGCCCACAGCTCCCGGCTGGGCCACAGCCCCGTGCCCCTCGCATGGAGCCCCAGCAGGATTCGATAATCTGGGGTCAAACATGTCACTTTCTGGGTAAGTTACCCCAGGTCTGATGGGAGGGGATCTGCAAGGGATCAGCTCAGGCTTCTGCTGCTGAGGGGGACCTGGGGCCACGCACGGTACTGCAGCGCCGCAGACAAGCATCCTCCCAGACTCCAACCCACACAACACGGATGGGGGTGAATAACCCATCTCCCCTTTTCCCCAGGGGTCATACCTGGTTCTCCCCGTTTCAGGATCCACGACTCTCCTTATGACACTCTGCCTCGCGTCCCATTCCTCCTTTGTCATTGGCTTCATAGCCTGGATTCGGGATTTTTGTTCATCTGTCAAAACTGGAATGCATCAGTTCGTCAGAGCCGCGCTCGTGGGGCACAGCACCCCGCCTGGCATGAACAGAGGCACCCGCCCCACCAGCTTCCTGGCGGTACTCGGGGTTCAGTGACGACCCCCGCCAAGGGAAGGGCTGCCCCACGTCCCAAAGCCAGCAGCAGCTTTGCCAGCGTGTTGCTGCTCACTGTGTCCTGACGGTTGCCACCTTTGTTCCCCGCTCACAGCTACAAGCTACATCCAACCACTTCACCCTGAATCACTGAACGTGGCTCCTCGCGTTTACCCGGTGGCCGCGCTATGCAGGAGGGAGGAGCTCCCGACACCCCTCCCTGTACCCAGCCCCACTCCCCTCAGACACCTCGTGGTCTTTCCCCAGCGCACGATGCTCGTGTGCCCCGGCTTCAGTAGGAGGGAAACACCATCGTTACCTGGCCCAGAGTCCACCAGTGATTCCTTCTGCCACTGCTCCAGCGAGGGGCCGGGCACCGCTTCTCCCTTGGCTTTCTCCTCCTTAGCCCCTTCCTTTGACTTCTTTTTTGATTTCTTCTTTATTCTCTTCTTTTTTTTCTTCTTCTTGTCCTTCTGTTTGGCTCGCTTTTTTTTGCCGTGTCGCCTCTTCTTTGTTTTTGAGTCACTGTCACTGGAATTGTCAGAAGAGGAGCTGGAGGAAGAAGAGGAAGACGAGGAGGAGCCGGTGGATGAAGACGCTGTCTCAGAGGAAGAGGTACTTGCCTTCCTCTTCTTTTTGTCCTTTCTTTCCTTCTTCTTTCCTGCAATACATAAGAAGAGGCTGAGCGGAGCAGCTCTGCCCCATGGCAGCAGGGATGGTGGTTATGCCCCTCCCAGCCTGGTTTCCTTCTTGCCTGAAGAGCAAAGCCCCCAAACGCCGGGGCAAAGCCCCCTCTGTGCCAACACCTTCAACACGCCACTGCGTGCGGTGCCATGCTGCCAGCCCAGCATGTGGAGGGGCTGTGGGGCTCCACGCTTGTCAGAATGAGATTAAAATGGGCACAAAGCGCATGGCAAGGTGACAGACACCGCTTTGGCGAAAAGCAGGGACCCTCTTCTCAGGCCTGGGCCCCCTCTGTGCACCCGCCCCAGGAAAACGGAGTGAAACCATGGGGGGTCACAGGCCTTTCCCCTCACCTTCCTTAGCTGCCGCTGAGCTCGACTTGTGTTTGTGAGACCCAGAGGTCCTCGGAGGAGAGGTGCTGCCCCGGTGTGAGTCCTTGCTGCTTTTCCTCCTCTTCTTCTCCTTCCTCTCCGGTCTGCTCCGAGAACTGCTTTTGCTCCTGCTTCGTGATCGCTTCCGAGACTGGCTGTGGGCCATCGTCCGTCAGCCCCTGGAGGGAACAGGTGACATCAGGGGGAGACCACCCTCGCTCGGCGGCAACACGTCAGGCAGCCCCAAAAACCTTAAACCCAACCAGCCCAGGAAGACCTGCTCCTGTTAAAACTCCCTCTCTGCTCACGCCAGCTCTCCCTGAGCCCCCAACGCTCAGCGGGGATGGGTCGGGGTTACCCGTCACATGGCCGTGGCCAAACTGGATTTCACCAACCCACAACAAGAGCCCTCAGCCAAGAGCTGGGGCCGCGCAGTGACAGCACAGCCGTCCCCGGGCAGCCCTCACCCGCCTCCAGACAACCGTCACCCCAGCAGGTTCGGCGTGAAACCTCCACCAGGCGTCCCCTGCGCTCCCTGTGTTTGTCCCTAGGCGTGGTGACTGAGAGAGAATCGGGCCGACCCCTGTCGGGGTTTGCAGGCAACGCTGTGCCCCATGGCCCCGGGGACAACCCCCGGTAGCTACGGGCCGTGACCGCCCCACGGGGCTGGGAGCCGTCGGGAGGACACTGCACCCGCAGACAGACACTGGCGAGGTGCGATCGGTGCTGCGGCGACAGCCAGCAGAAGGAACCATCCTCATCCTCCCAGGCTGAACGCGGAGTCAATCACCCCATTATTTAAAATGCCGGGAGCAGGAGCGAGCCAAGGGGAGGAATGAATTTTTAATATTCCAATTTGCTGTTAGAAAACAGATTATGCCTTGAGCTGGCATCCCCGTCCATCAGCCCGACCAGCTGCCAGCAGCCACAGGCCAGAGACGGCATGATATATGCTCTCATTAATTTAAAAAACAAACTGGCACCATCGGCAGAGCACTCTCTGGGAAACGCTTGCTCACAGCCACCTTCCAACTGCTGCATTTAATTAATTGCATGTTTACCACCTCGACGTTCCTGAGCGGCGATTCGCTCCCAAGTGAATCAGCCCTTTGATTGATTGCCAAGCAGAAATTTCAAGCAGAAAAAAAAAAAAATACCCTGACACAATTAAGGACAGGTAGTTTCTGAGGATGAGAGTCCTTCACCGACACGCGCCCAGCAGCCGTCCCTCGCACCAGCGCCGGGTGTCCGGGCCTCGGGCCCGCTCTGTTGGACACCTGTGGCAACAGGGCCAAGGGGTGAGGAGCCGGGTGCAGACAGGAGCACCCCGGCGAGTCCGAGGCGACGCCGCAGGAAGGGGGATGAACCCCAAATCCACCACGGCAGCACCCCCCCAAAGCTGGGGGCCTCACCTCCACCCTGCCACCGGGTTCACTTCGACGGCGGGGCCCAGCTTCGCCCAGGCCCGGCCCCTGCTCTGCCCCCGCCGCAGCTGAGGGGCGGCCCCTTCCCCCTCACCCCAACGCGGGCAGGCTGCGGTAGGCTGGCCCTTTAAGAGCACAGCCTAAGGTGCGCTGCCCCTTTAAGAGCCTAGCACAAGGCGTGCTGGCCCTTTAAGGACCTGCGCAAGGTGCGCTGGCCCTTTAAGGGCTCAGCAAGAGGTATTCTGTCCCTTTAAGAGCTCAGTACCAGGTGTGCTGCCCCTTGAAGAGCGCGGAGCGAGGCGCGGCCCCTTTAAGAGCGCGGCCC